TTTTAATTCTATCCATCGAAATTTCTGAAAAAAAAAAAAAAAAAAAAAAAAGAAAAGACTTCTAAAAGATAGTTTACTATTGCTATATAATACACATATGTCCAAAACCTTAACTTTCCTTTGGGCCAATTGTAGTATAGCTGTTCTCTATATGTAGGCTCCAAGAGGAATTAAAAGAATGCCACCTTGTTAACCCTGGAAACCAAATGGATTTCCAAATAACATTTTATCAGATAATCCTCTGGCCTAGACTGAAGTTATGAGGAAGTTAGGAGAAAACTTCAGTGTGTATTTCTTTAACATTGGAAATAATTATAGTTTGTATTCGCTATTATAAAGTATCAGATGCTGTCCTATTTTTCACATGTACTTTAAAATTGGTTATATAGTCCTACAGAAGAGACTGCTATTATCTGTATTTTATAGATGAAATTGAAACACAAAGAACTTGTGCATCATTTTATAGCTAGTAAGAAGTAGGGATCAGTTTTTTTTTTTTAATAATTCCATTCAGCTGTCTATCCATATAAAGATGTTGCAGAGACCCAGTATAAAGGATCCAGAGTTTACCGGACAGAATAAGGGGTGGCTATTCGTGTCACAAAATGATTTATGAAAGATTTCTTTTAAAAAGTGGGTTTTTTGGGTGTATACTCACTATTTTTTGGTCAAACCTCAGAAGCCATCTCCGGGTGGGGACTTTTTGTCACTTTTTTTGTTACTTAATGAATTTCAGGGCTGCCTTTGGGTCAGTGGACTATCTTTGATCTAGCTATTGTTCTTTCTTTGCCAAGAGTAGTCCATCATTGACCAAGGTGAGGAAGGCCTGCAAGAAGAAGTTGCTTAGGGACAGTGGTCACCTTGATGGACACATGTAGGCAGTTCTTCTGAGTATCTAAATGGTTATTAGATAGATATGCAACTTTTAGGAATACATTTATTACATAAAACAAATGTTAGTTTCAAAATCCACACGTTGTGTGTGTGCGTTGCTTGTCCTAGGTAAGTGCTCTACCACTGAGCTATACCCCGAGCCCTGCAAATTATATTTTGAGTACTTATTGAATATTACTGTTTTTTCTATTGAGTGATTCTTAAGAGGTAGTCATGACTTAGAGCCTCATCCATCTTTGTTTTAGGATATTAATGTGTTTATATTAATGATCTTGACTATCCTGTTGCATTTTATATAATATCACCATAAGACTTAAGTTTACTTTATTAATTCCATTTAAGGATACTACCAATATTGAAGAGTTTTTGTTGTTGTTTATTAATCTTAAATGGATGAGGAAAATAATTCCATACCACATTTCCTTTTTCTTTCAAATTTTCTTTTGTAAAGAAAGTATAATACATATATTACACATTATTTATTTATTTGAGTGGATACTCTTAAAAAACAGTAATTTAAAAAACTTCTTGCTATTTCAGTGATATCTAGGTGGGGTAAGTTGTTTTTGTGCTTCTTATGGAACTTCATTTAATTCACAGCCCAAATGATCACTGACTAGAAGTGGCTCAGTGTTAATACTTACTGCTGGGGTATTTTCTCTTTTAGTTTTGTGTTTTGAGTTAATCATTTTCTAAGTTGATTTTAAAAAACTGTGATATATAACTAGATAAAAGAATGAAGGTGTTAGTAAAAGTAAAGTGCCTGTTTTTCTGAATTTGGGACTTGAATAGCTTCTTAGGATATGGATAGCTAAAACTAAGGCTTAAAATTTATTTTCTTGTATGCATGATTTTCTTTTTGGTACTAGAAATTGAATCCAGGAGCATTCTATTTCTGAGTTACATTCCCCATGTCCACCAAACCCCACTTTTAAAATTTTTGAGACACGGTCTTAAACTTGTCATCCTCCTTCCTCAGCCTATGTTTTTCTTTCCATACTAAGAAATACTCAACAATGAACCAGGCTACATTAGACACTAGGTACTAACTTGTTGCTACAAGTTTGCACTAACAGCTTAGATGATGAATGGCAAAAGATTTTTTTTTTTTTTTCAAAAAAGAGAAGGTAGTATGTTGAATTGAAGAACTTCCAAGATAAACTTTCAGATTCTTTGAATATATAAATACAAAGGCCTGTGCTTTCAAGTGATAGGTAAAACCCATGCATTTTCTCTTCTGTTGTACGTAAAACCACACCTTTCTTTACAACTGTTGTCTCACAAAAGTAAATTAGCAGAAGTGCACAATGAAATAAGATTGAGGGGCTGGGGTTGCGGTAGACCACTCGCTGGATTTGATCCTCAGCACCACATTAAAAATAAATAAATAAATAAATTATACTTAAAAAAAATAAGGTTGAAAAATGTACATACAATTTCTATCAAACTATTTAGTAAAATCCAATGGTTAAATAAAACTTTTTTTTAATATTTATTTTTTAGTTGTAGTTGGATACAATATCTTTAATTAATTAATTTATTTTTATGTGGTGCAGAGGATCCAACCCAGGGCCTAACCCATGCTAGGCCGGCGGTGCTCTACCACTGAGCCACACCCCAGCCACCCCCTTCCATTAAATCAAATCTTAAGCTGTTATTTGAACCAATTTGCTTGAAAAATGGAAGAATGAGTCAAGATAAATAAAGGTTAAAAATGTAAGTGAAGAGTTTCTGAAAATTGAAGTAAATACTTGTTGAGCTCCTTCCTTAACTCAGCAAACGCTGGGGGTGTCTGCACTGCTATGGGAGCTCAGACTGATGAGAAAAGCGCATAGTGGCAGAGATGTGTGCCAGGTGTTGTAAGGGACAGGGGCGTATGTTATCCCACTTGGGTAGGTGACAGGAGAAGTTACAAGGGGGAAGACCCTTCTTGGGTAAGTGATATCTGAACCCATTTCCTTCCCTTGTTTGTCAGTTTTAAAAATTACTTAAAAATGCATAGTTGTTGAAAATAGCAATACAGTATAGAAGTAGTAAAAATGCAAATTCTTATTTACACTTTTTAATGCTTTTTTTCCAGTTAGAATTAGATTGATAAATATGCTTCCAGATATTTCCCTAAAACCATCTCAACAGTTTTTTTTTTTTTTTAACAAAGTTGGGCTCAGACTCATGTAATTTTGTAATTTGTTTTCCCCCTGTGTAACAATCTACCATGTGCATGTACCCATATCTGTAGATGTAGATCAGCCTCATTTAAAAATTTGCTTCTTCATATAATGGGCTACACCATCATTTATTTACATATTCCTATTGTTGGACATCTAGGTTTCCAGCCTGTTAAAAACAGCAAATATCCTTGTACAGATAAATTTGTTCTTAGGTGTAGTAAGTTTAAATGATAAGTAGGTGAAGGGAGTGAGGATTAAAGTGAAGGGGAAATGTTTTCTAGGCTAAGTGAACAATGTGTAGTTTGTAAAACACTGCTGAAGACAATGGCCAACTGTTAGGGGAGAAGTCTTTCTGCTTCTGTGCTGTGGAGGCACACCACCTCCTGCTTTCTGGAACTAATGCTGGAGTATCTCATTTTATAATGACATCATTCTACTGAATAATTTATAGTTATTTTCTTATTTTGGAGATTTAAAATCTTTAAAAAATAATGTAACCAGATGGAGAAGTAGAATCACAAGCTGATAAAGTGATTGATTATTCAGAGGTCACACAGAGGTGAAGTGGGTAGCTATGGAAATAAAGTTGGTATCTTACCTGTCTTTTACTTAGCTCTGTTGCCAGAGAATGTCTTAGCATTCACAATGGCTTTTTGGGTACCTAATCTCACACTACTGTTAAATTAAAACAGATTTTGGTTAATTCTTAAAATAGCAATTGGAATATTGCTTATTTGTCAAGTAAGTATATGAAAAAGGCTTAGGGCTAGGGTAGAGCTCAGTAGTAGAGACCTTGCCTGACGTGTGCAAGGTCCTGGGTTCAGTCCCCAGCATTGCAAGCCGCGGGGTGGGGTGGGGGGAACCCCAGAGAACAAAAATGGCAGAGATGATTTAAAGTAGGTGAATTATATTTTCTTATATACTACTCTTAGTGTAAAATCTTCTTGTCCTTACAAAGTCTTAGTTGCTGCTATTTTGCTTCAAACAGATTTCCAATTTTGGAATGTTGCCCTGTAGTGTGATATCTGTCAAGTGCTAACTAGTATTATAGTTCATTGTTGCCTTTTGTCAAGAAGAATATCTGATTATTATTATTTTTTTTTGCTTTTTGCATAATCTGATCTTTGCTAATTTTTCTGTATTGAAATTATGTTGTTAGGAGAAGGATTAGTCTAAAATTTATCAATGTTTGGTGCTGAGTTTTTGAAACTGTAATACTTTGGAATCAAAATTATGAAGTCATATTTTTCTTAATTATCTCTAAAAAAAAGTGCCCCTTTGGTTGTCAATGATGCTTCGCCATTTGGTTACATGTACTTTCTTGTCTAGAAATCTGATTCAAGGCTCAACTTCCAAAAATCTCTTATTAATTAAATTTTTTGGAGGCAAAATTTTTGGTGATTTTATTTGGTTAGTATTCTTTCTAGCTCCAGCATCTGGCCTATAAACTTTTATTCATATTTCAAAAAATATGCTAAATAGTTTTAATTAGTGTTATTAATTGAATAACAATGCTTTGAATAAATCAGTTTAAGATATTATCTCACTGTCTTAAATAATGATTATGTTGTTTGTTTTATTGCATTATTATGAAGTATATATTCTAATATTACTTCATTAAAGTATAATTTCTTTTCAGTACTGGGCATTAAACGCAGGAATGCTGTACAACTGAGCTACATGCCAAGCCCTTTTTAGTTTTTAATTTTGAGATAGTGTGTCACTGAGTGCTGAAGCTAACCTTGAACTTGTGATCTTCCTACCTTAGTCTCCTGAGTGGCTGGGATTATAAATGTGTACCATTGCACCCAGCTGTGAAGTATAATTTTTAAACATTAATATCTACCTTTTTATTTAGAGTGATAAGTTATTTTTCAAGAGTTAAGTATACATTTGAACAATAAAATAACTTAATTTTGCATTTAATTTTTCTAGGGCTGCTTTGGAAGAAGTAGAAGGAGATGTGGCAGAATTGGAACTAAAACTCGATAAGGTGAATTTAACATTTTTAATTTTTTAAAGTATCTATTTTTGTTTTCCATTAATAAGAACATTACTTTGTTTCTCTATAAGAGTAAATTCCATTATTGTAATTTTACACATGAAGAAATTAAGGCTAGAGATATTAATTGGCTTGCTTGTTCAGAGTCTTAAGTGCCAGGGAAGAATTTATATTCTCTGAATTCAAAGTTCACTAAACAACTTTTATATGGTTAGAAGTTTATTCCTATTTTCTCCATCTAAAAGATCGCATGTATCTTTTTTAATGCCTAATGGATTTCGTGTATTACCTGACCATTCTTTTTTTTAAAATTTTTTTTTTTTAGTTGTAGACGGACACAATATCTTTATTTTACTTATTTATTTTTATGTGGTGCTGAGGATCGAACCCAGGGCCTCGCAAGTGCTAGGCAAGTGCTCTACTGCTGAGCCACAACCCTAGCCCATGACCATTCTTATTTATAAATTTAGGTACAGCTGGGTTCAAATATAAATAAAATTTAAAATAGTAATTTCATATTTAAGCTAATGACACAAATGCTAAAAATACTTAATAATTGATATAGTTATGTTTTATATAAGTATAAATGTACATTGACTCCCACCTTCTGTATTAACTATTGATAATATTTTTGAATTTCTGTCCAAGAAGCATTGTCTGTTATGTACCAGGCAAAAATATTAGAATGAGTAAGATGGGGCTTTTGATCTATTTGTTGGAACATTCTTTTGCAACTATTGCTCAGAGAAATATCTCTGTAAATTTCTAGACATAAGTCTATGCATATGTTTGAAATTCTTTTTTTGAAAATACTTTGTGTAATTATTATTATAAATGGTATTGCTATGTGAAGTATTGCTTCTTACCCTGTACTGTGCATAAGAATCACCAGGGGAATCTTTTTTAAAAACATAGATTCTGATTCAATAGATCAGGGATACTGAGATTCTGTGTTTTTAACTAGATTCAAAGTTATGCCTATGGATATTGGCATATGGACTGCACTTTGAATAGGAAGAGTATGATACATATTAATTAGGCCGAGTATTGTGAGAAACATTTTGAAATGTTTTAAAAATCATGAAATATTTACATTAACATACAATGTAGATAGTATAGAAACTATGTAAAGCAGTAATATTATAAAAATTAAATAATTTTAGTTTTTAATTTTGAGACAGTGTGTCACTGAGTTAGCTGAAGCTGACCTTGAACTTGTGATCCTCCTGCCTTTGGAAAATTTTAATAATGTTAGTTTTTATTAGATTCTATTATTTTTACAGCACTGTAATATACAGTGTCTTTGAGTTTTACAATAATTCTGTGAGGTAGGTGGAACAAGTATTCTTTTTCGCATTTTATAGATGAGAATACCAAATCCCAGAAAGCAAAGGAGACTTGCTTCAAATTGAAAGTTAAAAGAGGCAGAAAGAGGGTTAGAACTCCTGTGCTTCTATTATTAGTTCAGTGCTCTTCTTGTGCACCACTGTGCTTCAGGATCTGTGTATTTTGAGGGAGCACAGGCCACTTAGAAATTTCTGAGAAGAGTGGCAGGAGTAGCAAGCTTCCTTTTGTTTTAAAAATAAATATTTTTATTTTGACTAAGTATATTATTTTTAAATATTTTCTATTGAAAATGTATGTGTAGGGCTGGAGATGTAGTTCAGTTGGTAGAGTGCTTGCCTTGCATGTAGAAGACCCTGGGTTCGATCCCTAGCACCACAAAAACAAAAAACAATAAAATGTATTTGTATGGGCCTTTTATTATTATTATTATTAATTTTTGTGTTTACTCTGAGGAGTTACATTTTTTTGAAGTACTTTTTGAAGTAAAGTTTTCAGTTTTTAAAGTAGACAATAGTATTAAGTTGTAGTTTTGATTTTTTTTTCCAATGAGTTTTTTTTTCTTCTTTTTGTAATTTGTTCTTTTTAGGGATACCTGACAGCAGAGTGTATTTTGACGTATTATACACATATGGAGTGTAACTAATTCTAATTAGGATTCCATTCTAGTGGTTTATGCAATGTGTGTAGTTTTGATTTTGTGGTAGATTTACAAGAGGGTATATAGAAAGGCAAGGCTTTTCAGAGAATCACAGAGTAGTATAATGAAGGTGATTATCCTTTTTAAGTAGAAGGACCGCATATAAATCATACGAAACATTGCATGTGGGTGGAATTCCACTGACAATGCTTTTGTTAATCATTTTGCTTTTATGAGTGAGTGACTTTTTTTTTTCTTTATATCATTTGATTGGGTTCAGGCAAACTGGTAGAATCTTAAAACCAAAATACTCTAAATAATAATAATCTAATAAATAATAACTAAATTATTAAAATATTGGCATTCAATGCTAAGAATGCTAAGCCCATTAGCATTCTTATCCAGAAGGCTACTAAGGGCATGGTAGAAACTTGACATTATTTAAAATATCACCTTTTCCTCTCCTCTCTCCACCAAAATTTCTTTAGTTACTTTTATGTTTCTCTGGTTTAAGATTTTGATCCCTTATAAAATGTACTTCTCCTGGATTCTTAAGCTACTATCATTTTTACTTTAGAAATGCAGAGTTGGCATAAAGAAGGGAGACTGAGAGAACCAAGATATGGTTGTTATATGGTTGTTATTAAAGTTGGTGGCACTGAAGGAGTAATGGGGAAGTTGTGCTCTGGAAGGTGCTCCAAGACTAGTTCAGTGATTTCATAACTTTGTGCAAGGCAAGTTCCACCTAAAGTATCATTGTAAATAATAGTGACAGGTTGAACTAGCTTGGTGACTTAGCTCGTATCTATTTTGCTTATAACATATACTAACAGTAGTTATATTCTTTCTAGAGAATAATGCTTGATGAGTGGCATTGTTTATTGGGTCCAGTTACCTGTCCATTCTGTAAGGTAACATTATAGTGCATCATAGTTGCTATCTAGATATAATTCCCATATCTGTTGCATTTTTTCCTCTGGTATGCTTGTTTCCTCTCTGTTAATTGGACATCCTTTAAACCTCAGCTCCAATGTTACCAAACTTTGGCTCTTTTCTTTTCTTTTTCTTTTTTGTATTGCATTGTTTCTCACATGTACTTCCATTTAAACTATTAAAATATTATTGTAATTTTTCATTTGTAGCAGAGTCTAGTAGTTAAGAAAACAAGGTCAGGGGCTGCCTGAGTTTGAAAGTAGCTCTACCATTTAGTAGGCAGGCTTCTCAATCTTTCTGTGCCTCAGTTTCTTCATCTTCAAAATGGGGGAAAGAAGGGTATCTATGCATCTGTCTATCGGGTTATTATGAGAGTGAGGTGAGTTAATACACATAAAGTACTTAACATGGTTCTTGGTACGTGTTGAATTCTAAATAAACAGTAAAGATGATGGTGTCTCTTTAACAAACTATTAGCTCATTGGAAATTGGGACTGTCTTTAGAAGAAAAAAAAAAGCAACAAAAACTCATCTATTATGTACTTACTAGGCACAAAGTCCTATGTTTACTCATACTGTCCCTAATCTTCATAACAGTGTTGCAAAGTTGGTAGCATCTTCAATTTACAGATGAAAAAATGAGTGTTAGGATGTTACTTACAACTCAGAGATAGCAAAGAAGTTGTTCGTATTCCTGTCATCTGGCAAAGTGTCTATGACATTGTAAAGTCTTATTGAAAAATTGTTGAATAATGAATTAGGGTAGTAGTTTGATAATTTTGATTATCTTGACATTTACTCTTAGGTAAATTAGATTATTTGTTATAATCTCATTCACCACTACCATCTCTGGATATTTGCAGGGTGCGGGTGGTTCTGCTTCTGTCAGTTTTCTCTCTCTCTGGCTCCTGTGGTGGTGACTCCTATGCTAGTTCTGATCCCTATTTTCACGGCACTATTCTATGGCTCATCATTCATAGTTGTAATCTCTGAAATCTGGAATGCTGATAGCCTGTCTCACTTGAGTCTCCAGTCCTTCCACTTCTCAACCTCACTACTGCTTCTGTTCTTCAACTTTACCTAGACTTCTGGTCTTTCAATCAGTCTACTTGGGATATTTCAGATCCTTCTAAAATCCACTGCAACATTTTTTTTTTTTTTTTTTGGTAATTTTTAAATTAAGATAAAATTCATCTGGGCTGGGGTTGTGGCTTAGTGGTGGAGTGCTCGCCTAGCATGCATGAGGCACTGGGTTCGATCCTCAGCACCATATAAATATAAAATGAAGATATTGTATCCACTAAAAACTAAAAAATAAATATTCTTTAAAAAAAAGGATAAAATTCATCTAACATAAAATCCACCATTTCAAAGTGTTTTTTAGTATAGTCCTGGTGTTATTGGTGCAACTATCACCACTGTGTAATTCCAAAATATTTCTGGTATCCCAAAAAGAAACCCTGTATCTGTTAACACTAAGTTTCAATTAGTGATCCCTTTCTTTCATTCTCTGGCAACTTCTGTGGATTTGCTTCTTCTGGACATTTCTTTTTTTTTTTTTTTAGTTTTTTAGAATAGTTTTTCTTTCTTTTTTTTGAGAAAGACTTGTTTTTTTAACTAACAATATTGGAATAACTGAAAATTTAAATGGAGAGAGTGAGAGAGAGAGAAAGAGAAAGAAAGAAGGAAGCTGAATACCTCACACAATATGCAAAAATTAATTCGAAGTGGAAAAACCTAACACTTCCAATCTCCTAGAAGAAAACAGGCAAAGATCATTTTAAACTTGGTTAAGCAATGGTTTCTTAGATTTTTTTTTATACCAAAAACTGAAGCAAATATGTAAAACTAGATCAAACACAAAAGCTTCTGTGCTCTCATGAACACTGTTAGAAAATTAAATAACTCATAGAATGAAGAAAATATTTGCAAATCAGATATATGATAAGGGATTATTATAAAGAATTCCTAAAATTCAATAATAAAAAGAAAAAATAACTCAGTTTTAAAATGGAAAAACGATCTAAATAGACATTTTTTTTTTTTAAAAGAAGATTATATAGATGGCCAATAA